CAGAGCCTACAGGTGGATGCTGGGGTGGTGGTGGGGCGTACAGCGCAGCAGCAGCAATACAGATGCAGGGCAACAGCGGCATTAACAGAGCAGAGGGAGAGCTGGGAAAGTGTGCAGTTTAAATAGACCGCCAGATTGGAAGGGTGCGCTTGATTAGTGATTATGGAATAAGGCATGCCATGTGTGTATATCAGCGCAGCTTGAGTTGACTGCCTGAACTAGCTTGCAGGCTTTGCTCCATTTATACTTTAAAGGATCAATGTGTAACATTTAGGAGGATCTATAGGCAGAAATGTAATATAATATTCATAGGTACGTTTTCATTAGTGTATAATCACCTGAATATAAGAATCGTTATGTGTTACCTTTATAATGAGCTGTTTTTATCTACAGACACAGCGGATCGCCCTCTGTGGGGTCTGCCTTGTTGAACTACCATCTTTCTACAGTAGCCTAAAAGGGACAAACTAAACACTGGCTCTAGATATGGGCATGAGTTTTACGACCACCTATTCTTCTTTTTTTTTGTCTGGTTCCCAAAGTGGGTGTTACCCAGGATATCACAAGATTTGCAAATTTCCCTTTTTGCACTGTACATTTGTGACGTTTAAGAATAACAAGTTTAGTTGTTGTAGTTTTATGTAAACAGCATATTCAGTTTGGATAGTCCTAATGAGGCCTTATTCAGAAAGGAGCATTTTCTGATTCAGATGTAGATATTATTCAGGTTTTAGGAGTATTCTTTGGACATGTATGTGGTGGAAAGGAGGCTAAATGGATCAAGCAGCTCCAGCTGCTCCACTTTTAGCACAGCTGCATGTGAACAGGAATATTAGTGGAATGTTCATTTTTAATTGCCATGTAAACAACTATTTTGGAATATTTTCTTTTTTGGAATAAATGCAAAATGGGAATATTTTGTACACACTTTACCTTATCTTGGGCCTGTAGTGATGAACAAACAGTAGATCAGGAAAGTGTTTTGCTGCTTCATTCTGGGTTTTCCCTTCAGATGTGTACATTAACTGTATATGTACTGGGCCGGGTATGTTTGCTTTAAGCTGCAGGAAATGACTGCAAATGAGGAATTCAGATTAGATGGCAGATCTTCAGTCTTTTGACCACTGAACCATTTATTTTACGTTGCCGCTGTCAGGTGAAAACCAAGTGAAGGAATTTTCATTGTTTGTCACACGGTCCAGTTATATATGGACTGCAGGGCTGCCCCAACCATTGCCAGCTGCTTGGTTCATAAATGTTTTTTTGCCAGTTATATTTCATGGTGCCGGGTTTATTTAATCCTGTCACAAACCCTGAGAAAATAAAAAAAAAGTCTACTGAATACTGTAGCCTTCCCCAAACATTCAGAAAAGAGGTGCACACATAACCTTAATACTGTATGACTGTATTTTCATGTGCAGTGACTATAGTAAGATGTTCACATCAAGTCAGCAGCTGATTGGGAAGGCAAGCAAGGGAGAGAAGTGAATCCCATTTCCACATTCAGTTTAGAGTTTGAAGTTTTTCTTTTCATTGTGCATTATGGAGTAAAAATGATTGGCAATAGTAGTGAGAAATCTGTGTTTCATGATCCATAAATTAAAGAAAAAAGTTTTACAAATGTGCAAAGTAATGTTTCTTCCTATTAGAGCCTGACTGATATATCTGTCAGTTGATATTATGAGCCAATATCAGCCTATCGCAGACATATTGGTCTGTTAATCATGTTAAAGAATGTTCAACTTACTTATTCTTTAATTAAGGTATTTGTTTAAGAAAGCAGCATTCTGAGTACCTTTGCAGAGTCATATCGGTAGTAAAAAGTAAAAAGGGTCTATTCATTCCAGTTCAAACATTCACTATATCAGCTGCCACTAGTGAATCTTTCCCACATAAAATTGCATCGATCACAACAATCCCAGGGGTAAGAAGTGTGTTAAAGGGTTTTGAAATTGGGTCCTTACACTCAGAACTGATTTTACATGATTTTTATGATTTGTCTGACCAGGACTGATTTACAAGAAAACACATTTGTGAAGCCCATAATTTGTTAACAAAACGCATACACACGTGGATCATAAAACACACTCCATAATGTGCTTGTGTCCTCACTGAGACCCAATAATCACTCCAGTTCTGGGGTCTTTACACTGACTTCCTGACTGTCAAATAACTGATTTTAAATAACTGCTGTTGGTTTATAAAGCACTGAATGGTTTAGGGCCAAAATGTATTTCTGATCGTCTGCTACGTTGTGAAGCATCCAGTCCTCAGGTCGTCTGGGACAGGTTTGCTTTCTGTCCCCAAAGTCAAAACTAAACATGGAGTTTTAATGCAACACAAACTCAAGAGAGCTGCAGGTCTTCTGCAGCTTTCAGCTCTTTTAAATAAAGGCTGAAGAGTTTCTGTTTGCTGCAGCCTTTTATTAAATCCAATTTGAGGCTTTTTATTAATATCTTACACTGGAGCTTTCTCTTATTTTATCCTATTTTTATTTTCTATTTAACTCTTGTATTAAAGGTCTTTTTAAACTGCCTTATACTGCTTTATGTGTTATAAATTATAAAGAAATAATTCAGACACCCAGCAAAACCACACTAGCTGCACATTTACCACTGTCCTGACAACATTTAACTCTTGAATTGACTTGAGCAGGAAAACAAACCCAATGTGTGAATCTGTTTTTGTCTTTTTATTGCAAAGCTAACTGTCCACCCCCCACTGACCCCCACTGACCCCCACTGACCCCTTTGGGAAGTGGATGAGATAAGGGAAAAACCATTAGTAAAAAATGACATCCTGTCCCACAGTAAACATCATATTTAAGGTATTGCAAAGACACAGTATGTACTATACATCCACATATCTTTGGCTGTGACTGGAAACAGGCCAAACTGTGAGCAGCTGACAGTTATTATAAGTAATTCTACATGTTTCATTCCTCTGTGGCAGCCTGTCAGAAAAACACAATGAACTCTGTACAGTTAAAGAGACACTGGCCCCCGGGGGACAGAAACATGAAGAGATTTCCTATTTAACCAAAAGGGCATTTCCTCACAGCAGCAGGTTGCTGATGCCGAGCAGAATCCCTCAGCAGAGAGCCGATGTTATGCTGCAGCACAGAAACACACACAAGCTTTGATGTGCTACAGTATATGTGTGCCTTTGCATGCAACACATACACAATCATACACAGGACAATGTAGAGCCCTGCGTGGGACTGTTTTTTTAATCGCGCCTGTTCTAGGTGGATTTCAGACTGTTACCGTCCACTCCCACAAGCGTTCTGACCATTCACTCCTGCACAATAGAGATTTCTGCCCGCGTCCTAAAGGTGGGAACGTTTCATTCAGTAACAACTGAGAAACCTCTCCAAATGCCAGACTTGCCATGCTTTGCTGTTGTTTTGTAAAAATCTGCTTTAATATTCCTCTCTACTTAATTTATCGACTAGATAAATCCCAGGACCCGCCCGCTCCTGTTCCCAATGCAGCCCTTTAGTACAATGTATAGTGAAATTTGTCCTCTGCATTTAACCCACCCTAAGTACTAGGAGCCACTGCTCTCTCTAGATCTAAGCCGTGGTCAAGGGCACTGACTGGAGAAATTAACCTCCACTTCCAGGTTGAGTCCAGTGACTGGAACAGATCAGATTAATTCCTTTTGCACAAAACTCTAGCTCAGCAGAGATGGAAATTACTATCAGACTGTTTATTTAAACCAGTATGAATATTACATGTATAAAAATTAGACTATTGAAATACATATCAATGACAAATGATTCATTGGATCACTTGATACTTTGGTGCTCATGGTTTCTATAAAATGAGGTGAAGGATTGAATTGTGGAGAATCTAACTATCTAACGATGTAAAAGCACAAAGCAAAAACATTTATATTTATGTAGGCAATCTAAGCAGCTTAGAACTCACTGAAAAGTTTTCCAGCTGGACACAAGATGTCTCCTAAGTTGATAAAGTGATGAAGTGATAAAAGTTGAAACATTCTGTTCCTCCTATTGCTGGAGACCCCCTACATCCCACTCATGGGCCCCTGTTGATCCCAGAACCCCAGTTTGAAAACCACCATCCTACTTCACTGTAAAGTCCATTGTCAGTGGATGTGCACTGGTGGCTTCAAGTTTCTACATCACACTGTACAAGTTGATACTGGACCAGGACTGACTTCCAGACTATTTGTGATAGTCCGCCCCTTAAAATCAGATGTTCAATGAGCACAGAGAAACTTTCCTCTTTCAGCAGATGAATGTGAAAACATCCTTCTAGTGTCAAACTCTGCACAGACAGCATACAAACAGCACACTGTAGGATCAAGAGGAAACACTGATTTCTGACTAGAGGGGGCTTTAATAATGAGCTCTGAGGCAGGGACATGCCCACTAAAAGTACTGAGATGATATGTATAAAAGAACATTAATTATTCTTTAGATGTAGCACTTGCTGTTAAACTGTGTGTGTGAGTGTGTGTCCAAGAGAGGAGGGCCTGCTTTGCTACACTGGTCCCAGCAGTGGCAGCTGTTTCGAAGTAACCATTAGTGTAACATTTCCTCTCTGCCTGTGATGATATTTCTCCACACTGAGACTGGATCATTAGCACTAAAGACACCATCTTAACACTGCAGCTTCCAACATAATCTGATCTACTGTAGCGGAGTCTCCAGCTGTCGCCTAACATTATTTATTTGCACTTGTGTGCCTGAGTGAGAGAGCAGGAAAGAGAGAAGCGTTTGTGAAAGAGAGTTCTGGGTGTCAAGGGCAGCCAAATTGCAAAACAAACAATAAAAAATGTGTCTCAGAAAGTGGAATTAAATGCCCATGATTTTCGATGTGTTGGTCCTTGGCGTTATTTTCGGTTTCCAAGGTGAAACATGAACGCACCAAAAGGCAAGGGCTCCACTCACTGAATGGCTGTGCGTCATCGCAGCAGATCCAATAGCGAGAACGCCTCCTGTCGTGCCAAATATAAAAGCTGCTCTCCTCCGACTTCCACACACTGAACCCGCTTTACTCCGCCTGATGAACTAGTGAAAATCAACAAATGTGCATTCAGCTTAAACAGTCCCACTTTCTGTTTCCATGTGTTCACACATAGACGCATAATGGATTTAAACTCCACGCTCTCAGAGGGAGACTTGGCCGACTTGGGCGCGCTGGCGCAGAGACTCTTTGGGAATAACTCACTTTTTGCGTTTGATAACAACACCGCCGCGTCCAAACCAGAGGAGGAAGACCTGGAAGTGAACACGGATGTTTACTCCAGGGTGATAGTCACTATCATCTACGTGGCCCTGTTCGCTGTGGGCTCTCTGGGGAACTCCATCACCCTGTACACCCTGCTGACCAAAAAGACCCTGCAGAACCTCCAGAGCACCGTGCACTACCACCTGGCCAGCCTCGCCGTCTCCGACTTGCTGATCCTCGTGCTCTCCATGCCCATCGAGCTCTACAACTTCATCTGGTTCCACCACCCGTGGGTGTTCGGGGACGCCGTGTGCAGGGGTTACTACTTCCTCCGGGACAGCTGCTCCTACGCCACCGCGCTCAACATCGCCAGCCTGAGCGTGGAGCGCTACATGGCCATCTGCCACCCGTTCAAAGCCAAGAGCATCATGTCCCGCAGCCGCACCAAGAAGCTCATCAGCGCCATGTGGCTCGCGTCCTTCGCCCTCGCCACGCCGATGCTCTTCATCATGGGCCAGGTGACGCGTAAGAGCGAGAAGATTTGCACCGCCATCGTCTCACCTGTCACTATTAAGACTGTGCTTCAGGTAGGTGTCCAAACGCTGGTTTGTGTGTTGGCTTTGCGCGCAGGTGTCTCCACGGTTGCGCTTTACGCACCAGAAAGAATTAAATAGGGAAATGTGTTTTTTTTAAAACACTGTACTACATGCGTGCCATAGCTTGAAACTGGCTTTACGCGCATTTGTGTCCAAAACGCTCCTCTATATATTTTTTTTTCTCACTGAAACCACAAAAAGAAACTCAACCACTGCCCACACAGAGAGGATGCAGACTTTATTAAGCTCATTAGGCTTTAATTCGGTATATTAAAAAATGAATTTAGCCTTAGGGTCGTTAGTAATCCAACTTCACTGCAGGTTAATGTCTGCCAGGAAATGAACAAGGCAGACTCACCAACATCAACAACATGACGATTGTTTCTGCGAAATGAATCAAACATGTTGCTGATGACCAGACCCTTCTCAAGTTCTTAACATGTAGCCTCTATATTAATATGATATGATTATGGCGGAAATCTAAAGATGATAAACAGCTGACCAGATACGAACAGTTGCAGAATGCAGGGTGATGATACAGGTGTGATGTGGAAGGGTGTCCTGTTGACTCAGTTCTTGTGCATTTGTACTTGTGTATGCAGAGCTCAAATAATTGGTAATTAATTAGTTGATTGAAAAAAAGATTGATTTGATGGTTCCAGCTTTTCCGATATGAGGATTTGTTGCTTTTTTCTTTCCTTGCATTAGAGTGAACTGAATATCTGTGGCTTTTTGGACTTCAGGACGGACCATTTGAATACAGTCACCTTGGAGTCAAGCCCCAGTTTGTTCCTCTCCTCTGTTAATTGTTGTGAATGTGTTTCCAGAAAAAGTCTTAACTGTCTGGATGATCTTGTGTCCTTTGTTAAAGCACACTGTAACTATATTATGAAAAGTGCAACTTACTTTACAGCTCTGCAACAATTAATCAATGAATCAATTCGTTTTTTAAAACTATTTAAAGAGCAGATTAATCATTTTGAGTCATTTTTTAAAGTACATGTAAACATTTTCTGCTTTCTTTAGTCCTCTATGACAGTAAACTGAACATTGTCTTGTGGACAACACAAGACGTTAGAGGACGCCAGCTTGGGCTTTGGGAAACAGTGATGGGCATTTTTCACAGTTTCCTGACAGTTTAAGAACCAAACAGCTAATCAGTTAATTGAGAAATGATCAACGGAATAACCGTTAGTTGCAGCCATATTATTTTATATATTTTCTGTATTTTATTATCACAAAAAAGTAATTTCTTGCTGCCTAGATTTGAAAAAAAGAAAACAGTCACAACTTGAGAGATGGCTTATCAGACTGAATATTTCTTTCATCTGGATTGTTAGAAGAGTCTTGGAGGATTTTGGAACTACCTTCAGAAAAAGCAGTGTTGTTAAATGACCTGTGTTTTTCAAAGATCTGGATGATTTAATCTCTCGTAGTGTTTTTCCATCAAATAAGTTCTGCTTATTGAACTTGAGAATATGACGCCCCTTTGGTTCCCAGGGAAAAACTGCTGTTTTCAGAGCTTGTTCCCTGTTTGTGGAAAAGACCTATGAGGTCCGTTTTTCACCAATTTAGTTCTGGTTATTGAACTGGTTCCATTCAAGATTCTTGGAACCTGGGTGCTATCTAGCAAACCAGCCTGCGTTTCCACCAGTTTTGAGTGGAACTATAGTAATCCGATGCATCCTCAACAGAGGGCGTTGCACAATGCACAACAACCTATAGAATATGACACGGCCACTTTGGTTCCCGAGGAAAACCTGCTATTTTTTGGCTCCAGTTCAGAACCAATTTCAGGTTCAGAACCAATTTAGTTTTTGTCAATATGCTCCGCATGGTTCAGAACTAGGTGGTTGAACCGGAATGGAGCCAGTTCCCTGTTGGCAGAAAATACCTATGAGAGGCACAAACTGGGACTACTCGGGCAATTCTTCTACAATCCCCTGCCATTTTATAGTGATAATTCCTTGAACCCTATGTGTACATTAGGGGGGAATGTGGCTGTAAATGTAAAGTGCTTGTGAGTCATCAGTGTGTGAGTGGGTGAGTGAGCGAGTTAGTGAGAAACAAAGACAGAGACGCGCGCAACCCCCCCCCCCACACACACACACATTTCTTCCATACTCTGAGCACAGCAGCCCCTTGTAACAAAAAGGCTATTTCTCAAGTCTGTCCCCACTGCTCCCTGAGACAAATGGTGTTATTCTGCAGGTCGTAGGTTGTATAAATGATTAGGCCAATCTCCTCAGCTTTGTTTACCATGCACATACATGGCATTCACTCAGAAGCAGATTCGGGTTATGAGAGAATTGGAAATGATTAGGTGAGGCATTTTGTGCGGCTTTGCAGACACTTGGCATGAGACGAAAGCAAAGGGGAATGTGACATCTGCTGGTGTGAATCTGGGAACGTCTGTCTTCAGCTTTTGTGTAATCATTACGATCACCATCATCTGCTGCAGTCTTCTCTGTCTGCTTTTGCTCTCTCCCACTTTCCTACAGATATTTTCTCCACTGTTTGTCACAGCTTTTCTCTGTGTGTGTTTTGCCTCCACTATTCATCACTCCTTTGCGACAATAACGTTCTTAAGCAGCGCCAAGGCCAACAGTTCTTATCGTCCGATTCTTTCATTGAGGCTTTTGGCATTCGTGAGCCCGGCTCTAGGAAAATGGTCTTTGTCACTCAAGAAACATTTTCCCACACAAGGGGTCTTACCCTATAGAAATCACATAGGACTTTATTTTTCCCCCTTGATGCAATAAGCAGAACAGTAAATACATTGGGACAGTCGAGTCTGGGGACATTATGTACACTGCTAAAGAGCAAATGATCAAATTCCTCCCATAACGTTTAAGCGCGCGTTTGTTTGTACAGTGCATGTGTATATGAAAGATGCAGTATAAGCTGCTTGAAGTGGCGCCCCCGCTGCTATGGAGGGTCCCAAAACACCCTGCCTGTTTTGACAACATAAGTGACACCGAGGGGAGAGAAGGTGTGTGCGTGTGAGAGAAAACTGAAGTGAAGGGGAGAGATGAGGAGGTCGGAGAGCATGCTCACACTGCCTGGGTTAGGAGTTCAGTTCCCCCTGCAGTTAGCAGGCAGACTGCAGTGCTGTGAGTAAAACTGTACCCGAAATATAAATAATGCACAGCATTTGAAAAGTGTTTTAACTTCGTAAGACCTTCAAAGGAAGACTCAGTGGGATTGAAATATGTTATCATTTGATTTACGGGTTCTTTCAGCTTGAAAGATCCCCCCAGACATGTATTAAAACACATATACAAATAGTCTGCTTGGAGCAATAATGTGTGTCTGATATGGTTTTTCCACAAATAAGTTTAGTTTAAACACATATCCACTCCTGCTACCTCATTAAATATTACAGAATCTATTATTGCAAATAAAAAAGTGTATTTCTTAAGTTTTCCTGCTGGACACAAGATGTCTCCTACTTCAGTGGCTCTAAAACTTTTTGATGTCAAGGACCCTCACAATGGATTTACATTAGACCACAGATCCCCAATTTAAGAGGATTTTGTCTTTTTTATCTCTTTTTGTCTGAGAAGTCTTATTATTATTATTATTATTTGATTATTATTATTAGATTTAAAGACCATACATTCTTCATAGAATATCAATGATCAAACTGGGATCAATATAAATTATTGTTGTTGTTCCAGCTTCCAGAAAACTTGGTAAAGTGATGAAGTGATAAAAAACATTCTGTTCCTCCTATTGCTGGAGACCCCCTACAACCCACTCATGGACCCCTGTTGATCCCAGAACCCCCGTTTGAAAACCACCATCCTACTTCACTGTAAAGTCCATTCTCAGTGGATGTGCACTGGTGGCTTCAAGTTTCTACATCACACTGTACAAGTTGTATACTGGACCAGGACTGACTTCCAGACTATTTGTGATGTCACAAATCCTGCTGGTAGGCCCCGCCCCTTAAAATCAGATGATCAATGAGCACAGAGAAACTTTCCACTTTCAGTAGATGAATGTGAAAACATCCTTCTAGAGTCAAACTCTGCACAGACAGCATTCAAACAGAACACTATAGGGAGAAGAATAGAAACAGATTTTTTACTGGAGGGGAGCTTTAATAATGAGCTCCGAGGCAGGGACATGACCAAGATGACAAGATTTCAGTCCTGTTTGATTTGGTGACAACAAATGAGATTTCATACTGCAGGTCTCAGAATCAGAGGCCAGCAAACGCTCGTGGAGCAGCTTCTTTGTCAGAAATACGTCAGAGCAGATGGCGTATTTACTGCAGCAACAAAAATACTGCAGCTTGGTTAGTGTTCCTCAATGTTGGGTAGCAGTGTCAGAACTAGAACAGATATCCGGGGGAGGCACGGGTCTTATAGCAGGGGGCACCAATTACTGGCAACTCACAATGCATTCATGCACAGTGAAACCATTTGTCTCCCCGGGAGAGCATTTTAAGGAAGAATTACAAAAATAGTCGCTGTCCTAATAATCTGTCTAAAAGTAGAAATCCCTTAGGTGCAAATAAATTTAAGGACAAACATTTTACACTGACTGAAATTAATCCAAATAACAAAAAGCCGCTTTCACAGAGTACTCCAGCCAGTGCCTCCTCTGACACAAGGCAGCAAGAAAACATCATCACAGGCTCATGGGGAGGCGTGGAGATTGACCTGTTTAGGCCCATCTTCTCCTAAATCATCCAGAGCGCCATCAGCCCGGCAGGATGTAGCATTAAGAGAAGGGGTGGCAGCAGCCGGTGGCACTGCAAGTGGGACTCAAAAAAAGTCACATCATGGTTCCTTATCTTGTTTCTTCACTGCAAACTGATGAGATAGCGTTTCCTTATTTTGTGTTGTGTTGTGTTGTGAGTGTTTCATTGATTACCAATTCATGTATTACTTTGTGTAATTAGAAATCAATAAATTGTTTTATTCTTCAGACATTTTTTCAAATATATGTCTTTTTTTTTATTGAACTTAAGCTTATCACTT